GCGCCGCGCACCAGACGATCAAGGCGTCTGGGCAGGGGGGGTCCAGTCCGCCCCTTGGTCCGGCTCGGCCTTAGGAGGCGGCTGTGGCCTGGCGGGCTTCTTGGGCTCAGGCAGAGGCGGCGGCGTGGCCATGGCCTCCAGCCAGGAGGAGGTGTCTGCCATGATGTCGGCGGTGACCTCCTTGAAGGTGCGGCGCTGGCGAAGTTCCATGGCCAAAGTGGTGGCCGTGGACGTCCAGAAGAAGACTATGTTCTCCACGTGGGCCGTGCGGGCCCTGACCTTGCGGTCCCACCAGGCGATGTAGTCGTTGACGTCGCCCTCGTCGCCGACTGTGGTAAGGATCCAGGCCAGGCGCACCGCCTCCAGCCCGTCCAAGACGGACATGACGCCGCGAGGCTCCCACGCCCGCTTGTCGTCTGCGGCAACGAGGCTTCCCCCGACGATGTGGAGGGAGCCGGCCTCCTTCTGGGGAACCGCCAGGCGATTTAGCTCGTCTCCGGATGTCCAGGTCCTGGCGGCCAAAATCTCGCCCAGCAGGAGGGGCGTGTAGGACTTAGAGACGGTGTGCTCGTGGTAGATCCTGGCGAGTACCGCATCCGCCCCTGCCAGGCGTCTCGTGGGGAAGGACCTGGGCTTGCCATCGAGGAGCTTGTCGTTGTAGGCCTTGACCAGGGGCCCCCAAGCGTCGAAGGACTTGGGAGGCGGGCCTGCGGCGGCAACCGGCGGCAGCGGCAAGGCAGGCAGGGCGGATGCCGAAGGAGACGGATCGCCCCGATGGCCGCCGCCCTCTGGGCGGACCAGGCCTCCCACTGTGTCCTAGCCTCCAGGTACATGTGGAGCAGCACCGCCCGGACGGCCGGGCGCTTTTGTCGTGGACCACAAACTCGGTCCCCGAGGAAGCGTCGCGGAAGCCAGCCAGGGGCGGGTCGACCACGGTGGCCTCGAACCTCGTCGGGTTTGGCTCCACCAGGCGAGGGTGGCCGTGCGGGCCAGGCCTCGAGCCTCCAGGTATCTAACCACGACGTCCCCCGCCCCCGCCTCGGCCGCCAAGGTGCGGAAGTCGACGAGGCGGCGGTCGAAGACGACGGCGCGGCCAGGACCAATCAAAGGGCAGGCAGGGGGGGGCGGGAAGGAGGCGAGACCAGCAGGGAGTCAAGAAAAGGGCTGCGACCCAGTCGCAAGGTAGCCCTGACAAATGAAGGCGACGACCAAGGCACTCCTTTTCAGCTCCCCTGGCTTCTAGGAAGATCGGCCCGGTCGGGCCAAGGGTCTTTGCCGGCCGCCCGGCGATGCGGCCCGGCGTCACTCCAGCTCGCTGACCACCTCGTCGTCGGCCCGGCTGAGGTTGCGGCCGCACCAGCAGACCACGCACCACCTCCAAGGAAGCCCGCCCTGCTCGGCGGGGGGCGGGGCCCAGTACATAAGGGCCCGGCGGCGCTGTTCGACGCGACCGCAGTCCGCGATCCCGTCGTCGAGGTGCCGGGCGATGGATCACCCTAGACCAGGGCCCCAGGCGCGCCAGGTAGTATGGGTCCATCTCCGTCGGCTCCCGGCAGGATGGCGGCGGCCACTCCCGGGTCCTCGTCCTCATCGCCCGTGTCGAAATTGGGACGTTCCCAGGCCGGGTGCCAGGCGCGGCGTGGCATTCGGCCCAGGCCCCAAGTCCTGTCCCAGG